CTTTGTCATGGGTGAAATTCCCATTTCAAACCACATGTCATTCTCTTGAGAATAATATCTTTGTTTGGGTAGTATCTATATTCATGTATCTTCTCATGTGCAACCGTTAAACAAAGAAATGATACTCCAGGAGATGACACGTGATTTGAAATGAAAAAAAACAAAACAAAAAACATTACGCCCAAGCTAAAGAGGTCTATTATCCCGATCAAAAAATTATCTCTCTGTGCAGCAATACTTGTGCAATATTCCCCAGTATTATTTGATAGTAAGTCTTTGCGGCTTGAYGTAGTCAAAGCACATTACCTGTTGACACAGTTCCTCAGACAGTGCTCTTTGGACGCGCTCGTATTCCTCCTGCAAACCTTTCAGTTCAGCGTTCAATTCCTGTAGTTTTAAAGTGCTATAGCGCATTTTGTCACTTGTGTTGTCAACCTTCACGAAATCCTCGCGCGCGTTCAGCTTCGATTTGTGTGAGGAAGGAATCTCGACCACACGTATGAAAGACTTGTGGCTATTGATGACCAACTTGGAAATCCCTAGCAATGATCTGATTAAAAAAACAAAAGGTAGAATTGAGGCCAARTCTGTCCTATATAAAACTGGTCAATACACCAGAGTCATTAGCACTTGGGCTTTTCTGTTTTGTTTCTTTAGCGACTATGAATACACCTATTTCGAAAAATTTTGTCATCGCCAAAGACAATAGGCAATAGGCAAAAAGCAATAGGAGATAGGTAATTCCAAGATCCAAGACTAGCTGGATGACTTTTGTTTCTGCTTCTTATACTCCTCAAGAACATGGACCTTAGTGTTGAGACTGATTCAATGTTGTTTGGTAGTCGACGACACCATTTCCGTCTCGGAATGACATATCGCCCATCGCCTTTGGCGATGACAACGCTTTTTGAAATAGGTGAATAACCACTCACTCTGAATGTTACGATAGTCCAAAGGTGACACCTAACAGTTTATTTTGCATCACCGGAGAAACCTTCGATATTTTTGGAGTTTTTTTCTTAGAGTCAAAATTTTTCCAAGATTTCACACTATAACACAGTCACTCTYACCCCAGAGCCCACTCATTCATGCTAGTCATGCTCGACGAACGGCCAGAGACTCTAGAAAAATCTTTCGACCCGTCAAATCCGTTGCTCTTACTATGCATGTTTGTTGAAAATGCGCAGAAAACAGATTAACATATTAACGCTTTGGAGTGAAGAGTGTGTTTACTTTGCGATGTGATAGCTAATGAGCGTGCGCACGATGAACACTAACCCACCTATAATCCTCTCTAAGTTTGGCCACTTCCTTCTCGTTTTGCGCAATTCTTTCCCTAATATCGTCTGCGGTGTCTGAATAACCCTCCATCACACTGTGTTTAGAAGTCAACTCGCCTACCGCCTGGTCCAGCTCATTTCTTAACTCGTTCAGTTCTTCAAAATCGCTGACTAATAAATGTAATATGGCATCTATTTCCGTAGGACTTGATTTCAGGATGGAAAGAATGTTGGAGTAGAGGAGGATAGCGTTACGGATTGAACGGAGATCTCCTAACTCTGCTGTTCCTGTGGCAACCTTAAACACAAAGTTAAGTAATTAAAACAATAAATAYATCCGTAATTCGTTTAACGAGGGTAACACTGAATCCTCTTTGGAGGTAGTCCACAAGATTTTCACATTTTTTAGTGATTTTTAATAGCACGACCAGAATGGTCGTCGTCACGAAGTAGGTTTTGGTGGACGTCAATCGAGGCGCTTCCATAGGCACTTACTCTTGGAAACTTTGTGTTTTCCAATGATGTCATGAAAACACTTTGATTGACGTTATTCCCGACCGAAAAAGTATAGTTTGAGGGCATGTTGTCGTCCCCGTTACCCTGCGAGCAGAGTCTCCTTTTAACTCCTCTACGGGCGAGAGAAGGAAAGGTGTCAACGTCGAGCAAACATACTATTCTGTCTTGATGGCAAATTGTATTATATTTGRCAAGTGCTATCGAGAAACACTTGTAAGCAACTTCATACTTGTAAGATTTGCGCGGGAAATTTTAACAATTTTTCTTTTGTCTTCGTGCAAGCATTTTWTATTCGTTTCAAATCTCGTTACTCCTTTGCAGATTCTCTTATAATGTTCAGTACCCAACCTTGCTCCTTATTGGTGGTTTGCAATCATTCCCAAGAAAGTCAAATGACAAACACAAGGCGCCCATGTTGGTGGTATTAACAAAGGAGGTCAATGAGATATTTTACCGCCAACATGGCCGCGATGACGTAAAGTGCAAACGAAGAATACCCCTAAGAAGTCCAGGAATTTTTTTACCTTTTGTAGTCGACGCTCGATATCTGAACACTGCCTCAATTCCTTGTGTATTGTCTCTGCTATATATCTATTATTATAGAAAAATTCCACAGAATCTAGTCTTGATTGAATAACATCCAGTGTCGTTGAAGGTGCACAAAGCCTTGCATACAATAGGCGTCTACCAGCTGAGGTAGAAGTATTGTTCATTACTCCAAATAACGATGCTTTCTGATTGGTGCTCATTAGAGGTTTTGTGAGTTCTAGTGATCTTCGGGTGTTGAAGTCAATCGCCATGTGCGTGTCTTGGGTGAATCTCATTGGTTTGTTCAACAGTGGAGTGACTTCTCTTTGAGTGTAGCTAATATACTTCAACAATGCTTCCCCTGCACTTATTTCGATTGCTGAAAACTGAGAATTACTAGAGGTCATGGATATGTGAAGCTCGCTGCTTGAGTCTTCYGCAAACCAGTCTTTGGGTATCACAGTGACATGATATTCATGCACACAGCTGAGGGAGGATTTTTTAGTGGTTTGACCTATTTTATAATTAGGTTTTCTTTCAGAATCTTTGATGTCTTCTTCTGTCAGTAGAATCTAAAACAAGGTATTGTAACAGGATTTAAAATATCATATATATATTGTTCGGGCTACTATATGGAGAAGCAGTCCRCCATCCCTAGGGAGAAGCATTCCTTTGCCCCATCTCTTGCCAAATGTGCATATCTTGGATCCCCGAGGATGTCTTATATCTGTTACTTCTTGGTTGTGGGTCCTCAGCCTTATGCACTTTAAAACCTGCTTTGCTGTGCAAATACTGTATACAGTAGCAAGGGCAGATCCAGAGGAGTGGACAGAGTGGGCTGAGAACCCCCTCCCCCACCCTTTGGAGTTGAAAATTATATCAAATAAATTATGTAAATTATAAGGTGAAATCAAAAGTTGATGCTAGATACTTGATTTCTAGATAACAGAGACCCCCTTCAGAATCGTGCTGAACACCAAGCATGTAATCGAGAATACAAGGTACTTTCAAAGGATTATTCAAATTTGAACCTTGCAGCCTCAACTGAATGTTTTGTGTTTGGTCAGTGAACCAATGTATTAGAAGAGGTGAATGAGAACTGTTTCAAGAGCACCTTGAGATTAAAATGTAAGGCGAATAAATGGTGAGGTACTGCATTACAAGTCAGCAAAGACCTTACATGTATCTCTTATCACCTTACCTCAGCAGGGTTGACTCTAGCCAGGTCTTGATCAAGGTCCTCTAGTGTTGAGGTACCCATCTGAAAGTCCCCTGTTGAGATGTCCATCCAGGCCATTCCTAATGATGTTCCTGGGCCCCTTATTATGCTAAGAAGGTAATTAGCATCAGGATGCAATGGTTCTAGTAGTGTCCCTGGGGTCACCAGCCTTACAACTTCACGATGGATGAGCTTYGAGGACTTTTGGGTCCTAAAACAAAATATTCGTATCCAATCATCATATCTGTACACTTGTCACAAGTCAACCTCCCTGGTCTCCCACAGGAGTTTGCTTTTCAAGAGAAGYGAGTGAGTAATGAAGTTGCAATAAGTTGAATGTTGTACCCTAGCAGACTGCAAGGGGGCAGCAGACTTTAGTCAAATAAGCTTTCCAATGTATGTATTCATATGTGTATATATTATATGTAATATCAATGTCAGCAAGCAGCCCTCTTATTGCTTTCATTGATAAACTATAWTTTTACAATTTGGTGTGTTTAAAGACCACTTTCTCAAAGTCCCACACAGACTTGCCATAAGCATCTCCTCCCTCTTCCTCAAAACCACGCTGATACCAGTGTGTTGGCAATATTGAGTAAGCAAACATCTCCCAGTTTGTTAGTGAGTGTGACTTGGGTATAAGCAAAGTAGCCAGCCAATAATCAAATGATCGATATGTCTGCAATATTTAATGAAAATATTATAAAATATTATCCTYTATTTACTTTTCTGGCATTTGTGGACAAATAGCAAGTTGAAATCCTTGTTGCACCAGAGTCGTTAACCAGCTGTCAAGAGATCTGACAGGAAAACCAGCCATAACACGATTGACATTAGGATTCTTAGACACTCTTAGCGATGTCTTTTCTGCAACCTTCAGAGCATCTTGGCTGTAGATCTCATAGAAGTCCCCAACTTGAAACAACACAATGAAGTCTGGGAATTTTTTTTTCACGTTCATGTACTGYGCTGCCAAACCTGACATCTTGGTTGGTTTAGTTGAAGGATCACTTGCTGTAGCAAAAARAGATCTTGGGATGACCAATGTCTTTAATCCTAAAGACGACACTCTGAAAAAAAAAACAGTAAAAAGTGAAAAGCAAAGAAAAATGGTAACGAAAGAAAGGAAAGACACTCTCACTTATTCATATACTCATATTCCATTATTAATATTTATATACTGCAAAAACAAAAAAAACCCAATAAATTAATGATCAATTAATAATATTATTAGTGATCAGGCATCAAAACCACAGGAACCCCAAACGCTTTTGGATGTCTTCCAAAGTAMAGTAGACGTACAATATATACTGAGAAAATCTACAGCAAGACAGATGAACAGCAAAAACTATACCAAATGCTCTTCTTCACACAAATACAACAGCTTTTCTTAAAAATCGCAACTTTTTTGAACATCTTTTATAAAATTTATAGTGAGTTTTTTCATATCAGCTGAACTTAGGGAACATGCACTGTATTGGAATAAGAAGCCTAAAATCTACTTTCTGAAATGCTTCAACGGCAATATAAACTTCTTATAATAGTATCTTGTATACATACCGAGTCATATGTAGCACAAAACGGCTGAAATTTKGAGTCTTTCGACTGCAAACATTCCACAATACTCCCGCCATTTTTCATGTTTACGTTTTAGTCCAGTCAGCGGTTTGTTGAATGAGTGGTAACGAAGATCTCACGCGAAAAAACGTTGAGCTCCACGTGGTGTAAAAACCAACATGGCGGACGGAGCGGAGCAGTTTGTTGAACACTTTTCTCGCTAAAAACAACATGTAGACGAGGAGTTTAAGGAACTAGCGTTTCAAGTAATACTTTTTGATCATGATTTCGTCTAATGTAGTACCATGCCATCGACTCGAGGGAGTTAAACTGGGTTTATATTCGGCCAACGAAATCAAGAATATTAGTGTWAAGAGAATCACAAATCCTGAAACGTTTGATTCTCTTCTTCATCCAAATTATGGTGGATTATATGACCCTTCATTGGGTCCAACAGATAGGGATGACTTGTGTGAAACGTGTGGACAGAATTCTGTTCACTGTCCGGGACATTTGGGACATATAGAACTGCCTTTACCCGTCTACCATCCACTGTTCATGAAGATTTTGACACAAGTTCTGCGTTCTTCATGTTTTTGTTGTCATAAACTGCTTTTGACAAAGACTTCCAAGCATACTTACATGAGGTTGGTACACGAATTGTAGCTCTTTTTGCGTCGAAAGTTTCTATTTTTTTTTGCATGTATGACCTTCAACAACCGGATGATTTCAATGTGACGGTGACTTGAATCTTTCTTGCTTCAGCACTATCAAGTGTTCCATAGTCTCTAAAGCCTCCTAGTCAGACATCCGTAGGGATGTCTAGTCTAGACGCTGGCCCTTCCATTGACCGCTCTGCTTTTGTTGGGCTGCCTGTGCTTGTGGAAATGAGCACAGGCAGCAACACAAAAGTGAAGCGGTGAAAGAATGGGCCAGCATCTGGACTAAGGGACATCATGCAAATATTGCTTGATAACCATTATGACATGTGTAAACTTTTTAAAAATGTTTGTAGCCCTCCTTCTTTCACTCAGTAAGAAACTTATGGCCCTCCTATTAATTCAACAATGAACTGTACAGGTCTTTGGACAAAATAAAAAGGTTTGACCTTCCACAAAAATTAATTTTTTACTGATGGCCCTCCCCTCTAAAGCCCTAGCCCCCTTCCCCCCTCCCCATAAAAAATATGCCTTTCCTTACCATCAGTGACTGTTACACTAGATATGAAGACGAAATGTAGCATGACAGCTGTGATTGTGGTTTTCTTATCTTCTTTTTTTCTCTTGCTTGACAGTCAAATGAAGCTTCTTGACCATGGTTTAATTGCTGAAGCTGAAGAACTAGATGAAGTTGTCAAAAATCTAATCAGCAATGCAGCAGATAATGGAATAAAAAATGATGACCTTGATGAAAACTGCATGAATTCCATCGATAAACATGTACGGGATATTTTGAAAGACCTTGACAAGAAAGAGGCAAGGAACAGGGCTAACGGGATGAATGTAACCGACTTTAGACATGAAATATCTAAGAAATTTATGAAAACACATATGGTATCAAAGAGAAGATACTGTTCAAACTGCAAAGCCCCTTCCAGGGAAGTCCGCAGTGAATATAATAGTAGACTTTACCTTAAAGCTTTGCCAAAGAGAGAAGCACAGAAATGGGCCTCAACTAAGATTGCCCATGCGCATTTGATGGAGTTGGAAGGACGTGTTAAAAGGGATATTGAGGAAGAAGAAATTAGTCCATCCAAAGGTAAGCAAATTATGCCTGCAGTTGCTATAACTTAAAATAGTATCAGAAGATATCTTAACTTTGTCTAGAGGGATATTGGGATCACCAAAAGAAGTAGAGACTTACAACGTAGGAGCAGTTTGTTCGAGAAGAACATCCCCAAGGGGATTATAATGCTTATACCTTTATCATCATCACCATCAACATCACCATCATCATCACCATTATCATCACCAGATGTCATCATATGTTGTTGTCATTATCATCATTGTGATCATGCATTATCATCAATATTGTCTTATTATGTATTGTTTGCATTTTGGAGCATGTTGTTCGAGAAGAATATCCCTACCTGTACCTTAACTCAGATGGGATTAGAATTTCTCCCTTTTTATCATCATCATCATTGTCATTATCATCATCATCATCATCCTAATCATTATCATCATCATCATTGTCATTATCATCATCATCATCATCCTATGTTGTCATCATTATCATTGTCATCTTCATTATTGTTACATATGTTTATCATTGCTAGCATCATCATTAGATCAACAACTTGCAATTATCACTGCCAGCTACCATCATTGTCATTATAATTTTCTTTTAGCTAAGTTTTTTTTTGCCACTATTTTTAAACATTTTAAACTTTATTTAACCTCTAGAAGCAAAGAAAGCATCCAAAGATAAAGAACTAGAATCCCAGAAAGAAGTCACTAAAAGTCTCCAGCAAACATTCCTAACGCCCAAAGAAGTCAAAGAACACTTGGATCTAGTATGGCAAAAAGATGGGGATTTTCTAAATACCCTTCTTGGTGGTTATCCTACTCCTAAAGCACGTCACAGGAAATCTTCTTCACAAATGTTCTTTATTGATGTACTGCCTGTTATTCCTTCTAGGTTTCGACCAGTAAGTTACACACATTATTGATTGTCATTATTATCCACTTTATGTACTCTGACTTGTAGTGGAACTCCGATTTTATGAGGGCCTAGAGCTAATCCCAAAACAACACAGCTTTAGAGCTTAAAGATTGAACAATAATAAGGTAAAGTTTGTGTGCAGTGCATGACTGCATAGCAGTAAATACAACAAAACAAAACAACTTTGCCTTATCATAAGGGCCAAAAATGACAGCCAATTATTAGACATTGACCTGCCAGAATTGGAGCTTGTCCAGTCAAATCTTTCATGCCTTGACAGTGATTTTGACTAGTAATGTTGAGCTGTAGAAATGAGACCAAGCTGAAACTAATTTGGCCAGTCGTCATGGCCAGCGACTGATCTGCCATTTTAGCTCTGTTATACATGTACATTTTTAGCCCTGTCATACACATACACATGTAGTCTTCATATTTTCTTGATAAAATATGGCTGTGATGTAAATATTTATATATATATATTTTTCAGTTATCATCTCTGGGAGAGAAAAGGTTTGAAAATCCTCAGACTGGTAATTTGTGCAAAGTTCTGAAAGACTGTGAATGTATTACAGAGAATCTAAAGGGACTCAATAAAAAACTTGCAGAGAAAGATGCAAATAAAGAAGAGGCAGAAGAGGATGAACCACAGCAGAAAAAACAATTCAAGGTACTAGATAGATATACAATCATGTATATATGATTTACCTATTTCAAAGAAAGGTTAAAGCCAAATAAAAGCGATACTGTAAGTGATTATAAGCAATAATACATGTACATGTAATCAAAGATTATCATAAAATCTAGTAAGATGTCTCTTCAATCGCCACCCAGTTAGCTCAGTTCTTAAGAGCGTTGGTCTGTTGTGTGAGAGTTCTTGGTTCAAGTCAAGGCCGGACAAACACTCAGGGTCTTAAAATGATTGAGGAGAAGGTGCTGCCTTTGTAATTACACTGTCCTGCAAATGGTTAGACCTTCAAGTCTTCTCAGACAGAGACTTAAAGTGTAGGCCCTGTCTGTCTTCACTATATAACCCTGTATAAGGCGGACATGAAAGACCCACTGATGATGCTGGTGATGACCATTTTCGGTGCCCAGACTTAACAATACAGGGCCCACAGTAACCATATAATATCCTGTTGTGGTGTTCATGCCCTCATTGGAAAAACTAAAAAATAAATAAACAAACAAACAAACAAATGAAAAAACACACAAAGAAATAACCATATAGTAGGTAATAATTACCTAATAATATTTATCTCTTTGCTTTCAGACATATTTCATTAATTGTGATATAAAACATAATGTTAAACTTCTACAACAATAGCATTGTCTCTGTCAATGAACAATTATTTAAAGATTGTTTTCCTTACAGGGAAAGAATTCCAAGGTTGTTGTCAGTGGTGACACCCCAGCAGAAAGGCTACATAATGCCTGGCTCAAGCTACAGTCAGATGTGAACTGTGTTATGGACAGTGATCTGGACAAGCTATCGACYGTTAAGTTTCCTGGTGTCAGACAGGTATAGTTAGATTCCCAATTATTGCTCTATTTAATAGACCTTATTAGCTTTGTATGCAAATTGCCCATTTCAGATCACATGMCATACTCTTGAGAATTGTTMTTTTATGACCAATKTTTTAAAATATTTMAATATGAAAGAATCRAYGTCCAARAGTGGYATCACATGGTCTGAAATTTGCACAACAAATTTCCAGGGCTCCCATTGATAGCAGTGTCCCATGGGTCACTGAAGKAATTACTCTGARTATAATATATTTAAAAGCTTTTCATTCATTCATCTCAATATTTTCAATGGACTTTATTGTTCTAGCTCTTGGAGAAGAAAGAAGGTCTGTTCCGTAAGCACATGATGGGGAAGCGAGTTGATTATGCTGCTAGATCTGTAATATCACCTGACCCATACATTAACACAGATGAGATTGGCATACCAGAGGTAATGTCATAAATTAYAATGGTTCCAATAATTTGTAAATGGTCCCAGGGTGTGGGGGGAGGGGGAAGAGGTCCTCCTATATATATCCTATACAGGGATGTTCTGCTGGATAGGGTGTCTGTATGGTTTTTTGGGGTTTTTGTTTTAGGCAGGGTAAGACAGTTTTCATGATATTGTCTTKAACAGGGTCATCAGTCTACTGTAGCTCAATCTAGTGTTTTCAGGTCTTATATAAGGTGTTAAATTTTGACTTTTTGTTAAAATTCWTTTTTTCACAGCATTTCCATAAATGTTGCTAGATTCTTTGATAGGGTAAAAGTGTGCAGTCTTGTGGTAGGGTTTGTTTTTTCAAGACATTCTTGTATTTGATAGAGTCAGGGGTTTTGGATACATACCAGCAGTACTTTTAATTCCTATCACTGAATATTTCCTAGTATTACCCCAGCAGTTAAAAGGTGTACAATTAACACTGACAGTAATTGAAATTTGCTTTTTGYTTGTCTTATTGTCATTAGGTATTTGCAACCAAGCTGACCTACCCTCAGCCAGTCACACCATGGAATGTGAAAGAGCTTCGGCAAGCTGTGATCAATGGTCCGTTGGTCCATCCTGGGTAATTATCCAATAATTCAAGTACTCTACTCAAATACAATGCTGAGCCTTGAAATCAGTTTTGGATAAAAAAATAGTCGTTGTTTTGTGAGGGTAAGCACTTGTGGCCCTCCTTCAAAGATCAAATTAAAATTTTGAAGTTGGTTTTTATGGAGAAAGGAAAATTGGAGAATCTGGAGAAAAACTCTCAAAGTACAGGAGAGAACCAACAAGCAACTTTACTCACATACAACTACATACTACATGAAGTCCAAGAATTGAATCCTGGTTGATTTAGTGAGAAGCAAGCACTCTCACCGCTACGCTTCCCCTGCTTCCCTAGTTATCCATAATAAAATATAGCAGCTACAATAATTTATTTTAATTGCTTATAAAATTTCTTAGCATAAAATATGTCACACAAGATGTGGGCTAATGATTCTTTCATTTTMTATATTTTATTAGAGCAATTCTTGTTGAGAATGAAGATGGTAAGAAAACAAGGTTAAGTGCCACTGATGAAAACCAAAGGCATGCCATTGCTAAGAGACTGCTGACCCCATCAGGAAACATCAAGGGCTCAAGCACCTCATGTAAAAAGGTATGGAATACAAATGACTTACACTGACTTAAGGACGTTCATGGGCATTGTTMACAYRYRTCCTTCCTATKCATGAATTTAGGGAGSGTGCGCTTGTCATTTCAATTTTTTGATAAGCAAAATCTCATAAAAACATGTTWAATCTCTTATAGCTCTAAATCCAAGTCTGACACCCCCCTTTGGAAAACAAAAGCAGAGCTTTCAATAAAAGSCRGCTACCGGCGGATACTGCACCTTAAACTGCAGGCTATTTTGACAAAAAATTAATTCATTGCCAAATAAAGTTATRTACAAACACCAGTGGCTTCAGCCCCCTACTTTTTAGGACTAACCGCCTACTACAAATTATTATTGAAAGCTCTGCAAAAGACTTGGTCCCTAACACTAGTGTTAYCCTATGGTACATGTATGTTCATATGAACAGGTCACCTAGGAAGTTAAGCTTTAATTAATTATTTTTAATTGTTCAAATTAATRAATAATTCTTCGTCACAGGTTTATCGGCATTTGAGAAATGGTGATGTCATGCTCTTGAACCGTCAACCTACTCTCCACAGACCAAGTATAATGGCACACAAGGTTCGTACTACATTAAATTTGAACAATTATTTGACGAACTCCCACTGTACATGAGCTATAGCCAACAAGGCCCCTTGGCCAACTCTTCTTGAGTAGAGTTTGTATACATGTAGAGTTTAGAGTCCTAAGAAAGTTAGGCAAATCGCTAAGCCATTTTGAACTTTTCTTACTATAGTGGTATATGAGCTTCGTCAGTCCTAACTTATATATCTATTACACTGTATCTATCTWATATATTTTAATGCATATTTTCACAGGCTCGTGTGCTGTCTAAGGAAAAGACCATTCGCCTTCACTATTCAAACTGCAAGTCCTACAATGCTGATTTTGATGGTGATGAAATGAATGCACACTTTCCACAAAATGAGCTTGCAAGGGCTGAGGCATACAACATTGGTAAGATAAGACAAATTCAATGTTGCTGCTTCTGCCAATATAATGATGATTATAATGATGATGAATATGGCACTGATGATGACGATGGCGATGAAGATGGTGGAGATGAAGATGGTG